CAGCTAATTTTCTTTCTATTTTTAGGTAGAGACGGGGTCTCGCTCTTGCTCAGGCTGGTCTCGAACTCCTGAGCTCAAACAATCCACCCACCTCAGCCTCCCAGAGTGCTAGGATTACAGGGGTAAGTCATCGTGCCCGGCCAGAACAGTTCCTTTTTAAAAGGCTCCATCATGGCTGTTTCCAGGGTTCTTGATAATTCCATAAAAGTTCCTGAGGATAAGAACTGCTAGTTCCTTTCACTTCTCTCTCTACAGGGAGCCCGCTAAAACTATCCCAAAATGTAGTATGAGGAATATTCTAAGTGGACTGATAAGAGAACCACCCCTTGCTTCTTCTAATAATCATAACAGGAATACCCGTGCCATTTTCTGAGCTTGCAGTTACCCTATCATTTTAGCCAGCACAGCTCCTTGCACACCAGGCACTCATGTATTTCCTGAGTGAATGGTGATAAAGTCCTAAAGTAAACATTAATTTTCAGACATACTACATGAGCTATCAACCAGACCAAGGCATGATTCTGATATCAATCTGATAGCACCACAAGGAAGAAAAGACTCTATCGTACACAGATATTCCACCACAGAAATATAATCATGCGTAACTTAACCAAGGGGATACGTTCTGAGAAATGTACTGTTAGGCACTATGGTACAGCCTATCACGCCTAGGCTACAATCCTGTATAGAATGTTACTGTACTGAATACTATAGGCAATTATAATGCAATGGTAAGTATTCATGTATCTAAACATAGAAAAGGTATAGTGAAAATATGGTATAAAAGATAGAAACAAACTGTATACCTGCATAGGGCACTTACCATGAATGGAGCTTGCAGGACTGGAAGTTGCTCTGGGTGAGTCAGTGAGTGAGTGGTGAGTGAACGTGAAGGCCTAGGACATTCCTGTACCCTACTGTGGACTTTATAAACACTGTACAATTAGCCGATACTGAATTTATAGAAACATTTTGTTCTTCAATAATAAATTAACCTTGGCTTATGGTACTTTTTACTTTATAAACTTTTAAATTTTTTTTTTAACTTTTCAACTCTTTTGAAACACACTGTATATAGCTGAAGTGGGAGGATTGCTTGAGGTCAGAAGTTCGAGACCAGCCTCAGCAAGAGTGAGATACTATCTCTACTAAAAACAGAAAAATTAGCTGGGCAT